TTTTTTAAGTAAATCTAATAATGGGAGTGGGAGAAGGGAGAGTTCTGGCATTGGTTTTGAAAGCATAGGATTGATGATACTAATGTTGCCAAGCCAAACATAAGGACATTGGTTTGTTTAGCTTCCTGTCTCTTCCACCCAGCCATCATCAAGGACCATCTACTGCTCTTACCTAGGAGGGACAGCATTTCATTTAAAGGTACAGTAACAACAGTACTGAGATACACGTCCATTCATTAACCTACTTCTTAAGAGTTTTATCTATTTCTAGTGCCCTAAATCTAAAAAAAACCCTGCTCCATTAAAAAGGTTTTCAGGTGAAGAGATGCCTAGTGAGTAGTTTTATAAGGCTGTGTCCAGCAAAGTTTAACCTTCGTTCACACTTCATCTGTTCTACAAAACATCTGTCTCTTTTACAGTGACATTGTAATCTTTGCCTCTGTGTATCAGGTTTTGACTAACCTAGCTATGTTGCTGCACGGCAGTTATATGATGTAATTGCTTTGGATATATTAGCTTAGTTATACAGAAATGGCCAGACTTTGGAAATAATCCAGAAAGGTTTGCCCCTCTTTCCTTTACAGTTTTCAACGATTCATCAAATTATGTTGTTTGTGTCATGTCCTCCCCCAGGTCACTGAATTATAACGGGCACTTATCTACAAATCTTTCCTACATTTTCTTTCTATTACAATAAGCTTCTCTTTCATCAGGATTATCAGTGAAAGCTGCAGGATATTTTATCTGGCTGCAATTCAGCTTCATGTGGGGGTGCTCACATGCACCCTGCGGTATTTTGTGCAGTTATAAGCAATTTATGAGATGTTTAAAAGTGCATACTTTACTTTTCAGATTTAACTCTTTGCCTGAACCCAGTGTCTGATTAATCTCAGTGCAAGAGTTCTGTAGAGACCAGGGTCTAAATATTAAGTGGTATTGACTACCTCTGCTCTTTCATCACCTTCACTGGACCTGAAGGTTCTCAGCATATTTTCGGGGTGCAGCCCTACCAAACCTTACATGCATTATAAAAGATGTTTAAAAAGTTCTTCCCAAACCAAGGGCCCAAAAGGGCAGAAGCTTCCCCAGTATGCCTTTCTGGCATGACACCTGTACTGGAGTGATGACCTTTAAAGGTTCCTTCCAATCCAAACCATTCTAAGATCCTGTGACTATGCTGAAATCATCACATGGCCACCATAGCCCTTGTCTCTCCCCTCATACAGTGTGATCCCTGAAAGCTGCAAAGCATAAGGACAGGTTACCCAAGAAAAGATACAAAACAGATATTGCAAGACACTGGGCTGGCAGGTACTGTGCTTCTGTGATACCTATCATCCATGATGGCAAGACGTGTAAATCAAAGAGCAGAGATCAGTTATTTAATGACTTCAGCAAATGAAGTCTCCATGACCCTGCCTTAGTACAAAATCTTCAATTCTGTGAAGCTTCTAGAATCAGTTTATCTTTCTGCCTTTTTAAAAGAAGGAGGGAAACAAGTATAGGTACCATTGTGCTTGTACCTGTGCACCCGCATCTGTGCCTCCAAAAAAATGAAGAACTGGAGCATCTTTGGAGAAAGTATAAACAGTTCCTGTAGGATGGACAGGTTTCACACCAAGGCTATACATTAAAGTCTTTCAGCCCTTTCAGCCAGTGACTTTTTTGTACATTTTCCTACAAGGGTTAGCAAATTGGAGGCTAACATTAATAATGAATGCTACTTGTGCTAGTAGGAAACGGTGGGACAACATAATCAATGGAGATTTTTTAATGTAAAGAGTAGCTATGAAGTAGCTATGTTCACTCATAGGATCCTCAATGAAGAAAATGCTTCAACATAAATGTAACATATCACCAGGAAATATTTTGACATGTTTTCTATACACATGACAATGCATGTAAGCCAATGATAATTCTTCCTTTTTTACTGGCTATGTTCTGGTCTAGGTAGAGAATAAACATGGTCAAGAATCTGGGAATCCTGACTGCTAGATTGTCTCTTGCTTAGACAAGAGACATCCTCTTTGTCCTTCCCAAGCTGGCATCACAACACAGAATTGCCAGTTACCAAGCTTAAGTGATTAGTCCCCAACATCCTCCCAAATCCAGAGTAGAGCCCTGAAATCTTGTGAGGGGGATATTCCTCACCACTTCCTATTGTGTCTTCAGGGCTTCTGGATGCAGGGGAGTTTTATGTTGAGTAAATTACTCCTTCTAAAGTGATAAATAGCTTTTTTCACAGAATCATTATGGGCTTGTTTGTGTGCATGCCAGAGCTAACACAGACTTTTGCCTTTTGCTCTTTGATTGGTACAACAGGGATCTTTGAAACTATAGTTGATTGTTATGCTATTGTCTACTGAGCCTCCATGAGCTGTAAACTGAGAACATATTTATTGCTTTTACCAAACATAGTCCCTTGGCTAAATGTCTCCTTATTATACTTTTTTCACTGCCTACTTTTTCTTCTTTTAGAAAGTCACAGCTTGGTTTGATTCTAAAGGCAATGTCCCACTTTAACCACAGACATCTCTCACTATCAATGGAGCATGAAGGTAGAGGGGGGAAAACCCTCTTTTGGCTGACAGCTGTAGGTGTCCATTTACTTTTGGAAATTAAAAAACAAACAAACAAAAAACAACCAAAAGTAGGATGTGCCATTTTCTAGAAAGTTTCTTTTCAACTTCCCGGCATTGCATGGATGTTTTTCTTCTGTAATGAGGAAATCAAACCTTAATTGTCTGTCATTTGCTAGAATGGCATTATGTAAGCTCTTGTTAGATTGCCCTACTAGTAAATCTTACTTTTGGGTGTCATAATACAGAGCAATCTGTTTTCTGTAGCTATGGAAGAATTCAGTAGAGGACGGTAGTATCAAAGAGCTTTAAGGGTGGCTAGTATACCCACTTACACATTGATGAAGACTGTAGGAGGACAGAAAATGTAAGGTAGTAATTCCCAGAGACATTCACAAAGAACAGTGATAAAAGAAAAATGGTGTGCATAAGAACATCAGCAGACAATGAAAAGATGAGAGATTTATTAATTGGAACAGGAGTGAAGGAAAGAAAATATTTTGGAAACAAACTAAAGAGAAGCACTTCAGTAGACAGAACCATTGTATTAAAAATATTTGGGAAATACAGTATTTCTTTGATATTTTTAAGAATTTGTAACTCGACAACTATATTGTGAGAATAAAAATGAAAGCTGGGTTCAAGAGTGTAATTCCACAGCAAATGCAGTATTTTTGGAATCCACAAGACCCTCTGTCTGCCAGTAATTTCCTGGCTATAGCACCCTTTTTGAAATTAAAATCTGTTACCTCTCCTTCAGACTGGTGTGGCTTTTCTGATGGTCTTCCTTGTAGATGCTGACAGACCAACTCAGTTGTAATTGCTTTATATAGTTTGTCTGTCAAGGCATCCTGCTGAGAATGTAGCAAAATACAACCTTTACCCATGGAAATCAAACAGTTGGCAAGTGGGCGCCTTCTGTCTTTTAATTTTTGTCATAGGTTACTTCAGCAATTCATTGTTCATGGAGTTTGTCATGACATTAAGGAAATCTGACTACACACTGAATTTGGCATGCCGAGTGCTAGTCTTCACTGAATCACTGGCCTACTGAGTGACTTCATGTGAGTCATTTCCATCACTGGGCCTCCTGCCTCAGCAAGGAGATGGGGATATTCATGCTAATTCCTTCTCTATGTGCTTTGCTATCTACTCATAAGTAGTTCTATGAAAGACAGCAGTGGTATTATTAGTGAGGCAAAATCTAAACGGATGGCAGTAGATTTGGCTGATAATAAAAGAGGCAGTAAGAAAGCCAAAAGATATAAATATATCACTGTCTTTGGATGTTTGAGCCAGTTTTGCTGAATGGGAAATGCCAAAACTGTGAGCTAGACCTTTGTATTCATGGCTTGCAAAGAGCAACAGGGATGTTTTGATGTTATTACTGGCAAGACTTAACACTTTACTACATAAAGGACAGGGTATTGGCCACTCTTGCACAATTTGTAAATGAAGGCACTGCTACTGCTAAACCCAGGACAGCACTCCTTCAGAAGTAATCCATAGATAGTGAGCCTATCAGTTGTTGCTTCTTGTACGCAATATTGCTGCTGGTATTCTCACCTAAGAGGCCTTCTTTTCTTTATCTTGTTTGATTACTGATATGGATGAAAAACTAGGTCAGAAACAACTAAGGAGATCAGGCTTATCTTATTGAAGATACCATACGTATCTTATGAGATATACTGATACTCCCTGAATCACTCAGTCTGTTCAGGAAATTTTGTGAAAGTACACTGCTTCTGCTTTCAGTGGCCATTTCTACTCCCTTCATAAATATTGGATACTAAAATAATTATTTACTTATTTTTCCTAAGAGCACTGAAGTTTTGAGAGACTTGGAACTGGCTTCCTAGAGAGATGGCCAATGTCCCAAGCCTGTCAGTGTTCAAGAGGCATTTGGACAATCCCCAATTGTTCAAATTCGGATAATTTGGACATGCTTTAACTTTTGGTCAGCTCTGAAGTGGTCAGGCAGTTCAACTAGATGATCATTGGAGGTTACTTCTGACTCAAATAATATTAATTCTGTTACATTTTGTTCTGTTCCATTCTGTTTCTCAGTATGGAGTTTGTATGAAAAAATACTCTCTTTTTGCAGTTACTTAGAGAAAATGGAAGAGTAGATTGAGTCAGACTCAGTTCAGCCAAGATAATGGCAAAACTGGTATGTATATATATCTAAGAGGAAACAATTCAAGATGATAAAGGCATACCGTTGATGCTAAAAGACCCAGTGTGTTTGTTGCACTAAGCAGAAGATACTTAAAAAGAACCCCAAACATTAAACAAGATTTCTTGGACCTTAAGATATATGGAAAAAGCCTCGTTTTACTCTGGGCTCAATTCCAAATCACTGCTCTAAGAGTAAACTATTATTCACAGGTAAGAGCATGAGAATGGATACACAGGGATACACATTTGAGTACGATTCATTGAATAGAAACTTCACACAGAGAAAATATTCTCATGGCATAAGACAGATCTCCAGTTACGCAAACCCTCAAGTACTCATTTTTTAAAGGCACTCACTTCTATTTCTTTTGATAGGTCTACAACTTCCCATTTCTCTTCCTCCAGTTGCTATTGCTTTACGACTTTCTATGTTCTGCATCTGGGTTTACAAGATGCTACTGGCCACACAAACCAAATTTAATATCCTCTATTTGGATTCCTACCAAACCACAAGACTTTTTTTTTTTTTGCTAATTTTTTCTGTCTCTCATTTTTTTCTTTTATGTAGTTCTCAGTCTCGTAAGAACAAGCCCAGCTCTTTCTGTGGCGCTGCACTAATGTAACTGATACTCAGATTTACCCCTTAGAAATTGAAACTCAGTTTCTTCTGTTGATACCAATAACACTTTTTCCATAGACTTCCTTATTCTCCCACTATTGTTTTATTTACAGCAGAATATTATTCTAATTCAATCATTTTTCAACCAATCTAATAAAGTCCCAAAGTGGATTAGCCAGCAGGCACTGGTAGATTGCACATCCATCAGTTGACAGCTACAAAATCCATGGATAATTAAATCCAAAAAGAGATACAGAAAAGGAAGGAACAATTCATTTGTCTCCTACTTCTCCATCTGTTGCTGTTCATTCCGTACAATTGAAGATCAGCTCCTTGGCCCTTCTTCTTCCACCCAAAGCTGGAAGTGGCTTCCATCCCTGGGGCAGGAGAAACAATGCTTTGAGAAATTGAATGCGACATAAGGGAGAAAAGGAGACCTCTGATCCCTCCACCCCCTTTTGTCCCTAGGCAGGAAGTTTCTTCAGAAGTCACACCAATACTACAGTATCTACAAAGGGATTTGCACCGTAATGGCTATGTTGATGCAAGTACAGCACAGCATGCAACCCTATGACTTGAAAGTCCTGAATGCGGGCATTCTGTAAACCATCTGTAAACTGCCCCAAAATCAGGACAATATATCATACCTTACTGTTACAGTGAAGTAAATAGAATGTCATAATTCCGTGACTAAGTGCTGATGGTTTTCTCCTTTGTGTGCATTTTTACAATGGTTTTTTTTTTCACATTTCATCATGCTTTGCCAAAATAAGGGGGTGAATCAGATCTTTCGTAAGCTTTATTTCTCATTTTCTCCCTCTCTTCCTTTCCTGTCTCAAGTAAATGTCACCAGAAGATGCAAGCATACACGTTCTCTAGTCATTATTTCTTTTAATCATGTTCCTTTTCTAAGCAGTTTTTCTTAGATTGCAGAAGATATCTTCAGAACAAAGAATGCGCTTGAACTTGCATGTTCTGTTCATAACAGGACGTCTTCCCTCAAGCTAGCTGAAAAACTCTATGCTAATACTAATGCTAATATTGATTAGTATGAACATTACTATTTCTATTCTTTGAGAAGGCTATTTACTATTTCTAAATAGTCAATCTATATATACACTATATTTTCTACATAATTTTCTGTATAATAAATTGCATTATGATCTTCACCTAACTGAATGTGACTGGTTATAAAATGTGTGGACTTTTTCTCTGCTGTACTGGTATCCCCCATGCTGTCTTTTCCTTCTAGCACTGTCAGAACTGCCACATTGTAAATGCTACTTAATGACCACTCTTGTCAGTGAGTTAAAAAAATAAAACTTTGAGGAAAGTAAGAGTTTCATTTCTCCTTCCGGATGTCTGCCAGCAGATTAGTTGGTGGGGGAAGAGTGGTTTAGGGTTGGGGTTTTCCTTTTTCTACTTTAAGGAGTGGCTGGGGAGGGAGGCTTGAGGAAGCTACCTTGGTAGGGAGAACCTAAAAGCTTTTATTAGTTGCTCTGCATGCAGGAGGCAGATGCTGTCCTGCATTTTTGTCAGTCTGAAATAAAATAGCTCTTTTAATGGTGTGGACCCCTCTTCTCCCAGAGGGTGACTTGAACAACTGGAGTGGAATGGGAGTTCCGGGGGGGGGGGGGGGGAGGAAGATGAGAGTCACGAGGCCTCCAAAGGACTCAGGCTGCCCATTCCACAGACCTCTAACTCTTATCCTAACATTTAAAATAATACTCTGGCATTTAAAATAAACATAATTTTCTTCTCCTTGGACTATGAAAAAAGTAACATTACTCCTTAACTCTTCAGATCCAGCTCCTCTGACAAAGGCATATAACAACTCCTTTCTCCAACTCCAAAAAAGTGTTTTGTAGGTTATGGCTTTAGTTCTTTTAACTAATCAAAGGCACCTGTGATTAAGCAGCACCCAGAACACCCAGAACCAACAAATCTGGACTTTCTAACTCTCTGCATCTTAAAGCCAGAAGTGCCAAAGTGATCAACACCTGTAAGCAAGGTGGATGGCAGCATCCTGGCCAGGCTCCAGCACTTGCTGCCCTGACCTTCGCTGTTTTCAGGGACTTAAGCTTAGTTCCATGTTAAAATATATTAGTTTGAGGGGTCAGGAGAAGGTCTTTCGGAACAAATTGTAGTTCTACTGTAGTAAGTCATACTGAAAACACAATGACACTTGTTTGGGTGTCAAAGCACATGTACCTAGCAATGGCAGGCTGTAACATAGAGAAGCTCAACTTCTGTACATAAACATTGCATTGTACCTACCATTTATTAAATGATGCTGTCAAAAGTACCACAAAGTAACACCAACAGTGACACACAACAGCATCATTTAATACCCAAACCAAGATAATGCCGTTTCAGTGTCGGAGCACTAGCAAAGTAAGTGAGAGCAGGGCAGCTAAATACAGCACCCCAACATCATGTGGTGAATGCAGCACCTTCCTGGAGACAGACCCCTGACAGTACCAGTGCCACCCCCAATGGAGGCCAGCTCAGCTTTACAAAATGGTGGAATTAAGGGTCTTCCTCCTGCCTCTCTCTTCGAGCTCACTGTCCCAATCTGCTTTAAACTCACAGTGGGGAGATTTAGATTAGATATTATGAAAAAAAATTCTTTACTGTGAGGCTGGTGAGACACTGGTACAGGTTGTCCAGAGAAGTTGTGGCTGCCCACTCCTGGCAGTGTTCAAGGCCACGGCTTTGAGCAACCTGGTCTACTGGCAGGTGCCTCTGCCCATGGCAGAGGGATTGGAACTGGATGATCCTTAGGGTCCCTCCCAATCCAAACCATTCTATGATTCCATGAAACAGCCTCTGACCTCCCCACTTCTTCACCATGAGGTACATGTTCGTGTATGCATACCTGCAAAAGGACAATGAGCACTCAATCCCTGTGGAGGACATCCTTCACCCTTGCTAGACAGCGAGCTATGCCAGCCAACCACCACCAGGCTGCCATAGCTGGCATTCCTTGTTTTGCACAGTGCATGAATCCATCCATCCCCCTTTTTGCTTCCATGAAATCAGAAGCCGTTATAGTACCTGCAAATAGTATTTCAGTGCATGAGCACAGCGACAGCAGCACCCACGGTACTATCAGCTAATCTTTGCTTTTTAAAACTAAACTTTGAATAAAACCTTGATTACCTGCATAATTAATCCCAGTTCACAGGAATTTGCATGCCTGAATAATTAAAGAATTAAGGGCTAAAAGTGAAAATCGAGCAAAGCCCCTGTTTTTGTACTTGAAAAGCTTCAGCAGCAACCATGATAGTTCACAGCGCATAAATAATTCAAACTGAGCTGCTCGCCTTTTTTTTTCCCTCCTTGCAGAAATCCTCTTAGTGCTTCCTAATTAAATGAAAATATTTTATAAACCATCATTTTGTGACATCACAAGAATATTTTAAACTCTGGATTAGACAAGCTGGATTTACAGTTTTTAGCATTTGCCATCTGATACCAAGAGCCATTTAAGGGAACTATAAACCACCATAAAGTGGTGACAAAACAGTACTTTAAAAAAAAAAAAGAATTGGAAAAAAAACAATATTGTGCTCGTCAGCTGAGTTTAACTCAACTTTTAATTTTATTTTTCAACTCAGCACTTTTCCCTTAGAGCACTCAGGCTGTAAATAACACTTTAACAAAATCCTGACAAAACTTACACAAGCAGCAGGTGTGGGAGGAGGAATATGTATTGTAGGGCGCCAAATCAGCATTGTCGGATTATTTTTTCCTCACAAAATAATTGATTTTTTTCTCGTTTTTAACTAACCGCCTCCACGCCACCGCGGCTGGGGGGGGATGCGATGAAGTGCGGACGGGACAGCAGAGGGCGCCCTCCGGTCGCCGCAGGCTGCGCCGGCCTGTCAGTCAGCGCGCAGAACGTTCTGGAAAGGGCTGTGTACGGCTTCCGCCCGGAGGCGTTTCACCCTCCGTGAGGGGCCGAGCCGTGTGTCCCGGGGGCACCCTGTCGTCTTGCAGGGCCTGAGTACATCGCCCTGTCCCCAGCAGGTTCTGTTTTAGCGCTGGGTGACCCATGCGGGTCCATCTGTTACTGCAACCTCCCCCCAGCCCCGCACACACGGCGGGGAAGACGCGGGCCCGGGGAGGCTCAGGCCGGCGGTGCGGTAGAAGGCAGCGCGGAGCTGCAGTTCCCCGGTTAGGCGAACGCGGGCGGGGTCGGAGCTCGGGTCGCCTTTGGAGGCGGCAAAGAAACGCTACGCCGTTCCTCTCGCGCGGCTGCTCGCCCCGCCTGCCGCCATGCAGCTGCGGAGCGCTGGCGCAGTCGCCTCGGCTCTGCTGCCGGGCCGGATCCCGCCTTCCTCCATTTTCTCTCTTCGCTGAGCTTTTCTCAGCAGCCCCTCTCCCCCCTCCCTCGCGCCGTGCGTTCCGCTGAGCGCACCCCCCCGGAGGCAAATGTCCGCGTCCCCCGTTCCCCCCCCCGTTCCCGGCCGCCCGCAAGCCCTGACAGGACCCGGCCGCTCTGAGCCCGCCTTGTTCCTCCAGGCCGACGAGGGCAGCGCCCGGGTGGACTGTCCCGGCCCGGGGGTACCGCGGGAGAGCGATGGGGCCCCCGCCAGGTGCCGGGCAGTGGGACTGCGGGCTTCCGAGGCGCGGGCTGCCCGCCCCGCTGCCGTCTCCGATCGTAGCGCACAGACATGTCTATTTTCAGTCCTTCCCCTTCCGACTGCCGGGTGACAGGTTCATTTTCATGGAGGGCCCTTCGTGAAAATACAGAAGAGGGGTTGCGATTCTCCTTCTTCATTATTCTTTTAACTTTTAGGCTCTCTGAAATTGCAGCGCTGTCGCTGAACGGGCGCGGCGGGGCTTTGACTTTTTCTCCGTCCGTGTGAGAACCCAGTGGTGCTGTGGCCATCTGAAGGATGGTCAGACCTCTCTTTTCTCCCACCTCTCCCATGACCAAGCGTCTGCGGAAACCTCGCAGCCGGGGCTTTGAGGGAGATCACACACACACACCGACCGATTGGTTACTCCCTCCCAGTCCCCAGACTAATACTGTTACTACTGTTACTACTGTTTGATGTACTCCTATCCTCCACTGGCTTTTTTAATGCGCAGGAACCGGGTCCTTCGTGGTGACTTTTTAAAAGGGCAAAAAAGCCTGCGTGCTGCTTGTGCTGGTTGTGTGGAGCTACCCGCCTGTTCCTGCTCCTGGTCTCCTTTCGCTTTGTACTGCCTTATTTCTAAACATAAATAAATAATAATATAAAGAAAGAAAATGTTACCAAAATGGAAGCATCATAGTGCCCCGGTCTGCCCTTTGCCTCCCAGGTAGTTGAACCTATAACGTTCAGGGTCCCCGAAGTGTACTATAAAGACAAGATTGCTGAAATCGCACTAATTCTTTAAAACCAGTCACACCGAATGTTTTAAAGTCTATGCATTGCTCCCGTGTCACTTTATCTTGTTTTATTTTATTTTTTAACGAGAGTTTATCGCTACACCTCCTGAACTCTGCATTTTTAACCGTTTGTGAAGAGGAAGATGGGTGCCGGGGTTTAAAACTTTCCCCGGGTAGACTGTGCGTTTTAATTCTGGCAGCCAACCCCGCAGTCGTTAGTCATGAGCAGAGGTATTAACCGGGGAATGTACCATTACAAAATAATCCGGAGGTATTAGGTAGAGAATGGTACGGCCGTATTTTATCACCGTGGTTTATCACACTGCTTAGATTCGCCGAGGGATCGTTCTGTTTAATCCATTTTACTAAGCACTGTATAAACCAGACATAAAGACAATGCCTGGCTAGAAAAGCTGCTTCTGTTACAGACTGCAGTACCTCGGGTCTAATTTGTTCCCGGTACATTTAAAGATACAGGTTTGGGTTTTGTTTTTTTTTTTTTAGTAACATAAATGTCAATCGGAATATCTCAGTTTTGGGATATCCCCTTGATTTAGGGCTGCGCTATTTCAGGACGTTATACAAGGCCTAGTGCAGAGATGAGACTGCTGCCTCGTGCAGAAAAGATAAGAGACATTGCAGGGGAAGGGGAAGAAGGTTCATTCCCTCCGTGGTGGAAGAGTCGTGGAGGAAAATCCGAGCAGCAGCTCGGTCCTTAGGAACACGTAGTGCTATGTTGCTGACTGCCCGTCCCCAGCGGATTTGGGGACTTTTTTTTGGAGGGGAGGGGGGATGGAGTGTATATATTTTTCTTTGCTTTCGTGAGATATCTCATTCTTTCGAGGTCAGGCCTGCGGCGATTCTTTTAACTATTTCTGTTGCCAGTGTCAGGATCAGGGAAGGAAGGGAACGGGCCTTGCCTGGCCCCAGCTGCTGCCCTTATTCCCCGGATCGTGCCGTGGTTTCCTCCCTTCCCGCGTAATCTTAACCTGTTCCGCGTACCAGGACCCTGCAACGGGTTAGGTTTCAGCAACACCGCCGAAGCGGTTAGGTTTTAGGGGACTGAGGGTGTTTTTTAGGGAGCCCCCGCCTCGGAGCAAAAGTCTCATGGATTTGCAAAGGGCAGACCCTGACAAAAAGAAGTCGCGTCTGTCGGGGAGCATCTCTGTTCTCCTTCCCCGGCAGTTTTGCTGCAGAGTTACTAGTCAGTGGCCCTTGCTCCGCACACATCCCGCGGCGGGTCGAGGCCGGGCCGGTGCAGCGGTTATTTACAGAGTGTCACGCTGCCGATATTCCGATGTATATTGGAATAAGTTGCCCAAAGAAGCTGTGGCTGTCCCATCCCTGGCAGTGTTCAAGGCCAGGTTGGATGGGGCTTGGAGCATCCTGGTCTAATGGAAGGTACCCCTGCTCATGGCAGGAAGGCTGGATCTAGATGAGCTTTAAGGTCCCTTACCCAAATCCAAACCATTCTATAATTCTACGGTTCCTATTAGGAATAGACTGTCTCTCTTTCCAGAGGGAGTGAACGAGTTTACAGGCTGTGCTCGACAGTGCGGCTGTCACTGTGCTAACATTCCTTAAAATAATTTTTTTGTTCATGATAGATTTTTTTTTCTTTTTTTTTTTCCCTTTGGCTTTCACTTTCGCACAGCGTTTCTGCAGTGCTCACATCTGTTTGTCATCTTCGGAGCGTGGTACAGTGAATTGGGGATTAAAATGAAGTCGCAGGGCTTTCAGTTTGTTAATGTCGGTACTTAAATTTAGGCTATTTAGATCCATAGTTAGGCCCTTATGGAAAAGGTGGCCTGTTTTCTCCTAAGGCTTCAGTTTCAAACACCTTCCAGGGAGATCAACAGGAGCAGTGGGTGCTTAGCAAGTGGGAAAATGGTTTTATTTGTATTAAAAACGGAACTGGGAGCCTAAGTGTAGTGTTCGTCTTGCAGCATGTGGGACTAACTGCGTTTTCCTGTTTGAGAGACTCCTCGCTTTCATCTAGTATTGCATATTATACCCACTGTAAGTGGATAGTGGAAATTGCAGTGAAGTTTCAAATAAATAAGTTTCGTGACGGTTGGTGATTAAATAAAACGGGTCATTAAAACAGTTAATGGGTCGTTAATAAAATAATTTATTTGAAAGGTGAATGAAAGCAGAATATTGCAGGGGTTTTGTTAATTCACTTTAAGCCCTCTTCTCTTCCCCGTGGAAGGAGTATTTGCAAAGCCCCTGGCTCGTTTCTGCTGCGTGGGAACACTCGCTTCCTGAGCGACCAGGGAGCCCGCTATACCGTCTGTCGGTCGGTCTTGCTGTCTGTCCGCAGGTCCTGCTACGGCTCCCTGCACACTGAGGCGACAAAGCTGACAGCTGCCACGCGTGTCCCTTTCCTCCCCCCCTGTGGCCGCGGGGAAGTTGGGGAGAGACCCGGTGACTTTCTGGCTCTCCCACCGGAATGAGGAGCCTTTCCCTGGGAAGGAACAGACGGCTACAAGCCCTGCCGCGGTCGCCGGAGAATCGGATAACGTGTGCTGGGCATCCAGCTCCGCTCGCAAGGCTGGAGGGAGACAGGAAAAGAAATCAGGCGTCGGCACAGGCGACCCCCTTCAGTAATTCTCGTAGGGCCTTGTTCTGTCCCCACGGACGGCACTAGAAGTTTTGTCTTTCATTTCATTAAAGAAGTACGGTCAGGCCCTCCTCATCGCATCCATGTACTTTCTTTTTCTTCTGGAAATTCTTATTAATAGTAATAAACACGGGCACAAAGTGGATGAAAAATCAAAACACCAAACCAAACCAAACCTAAAACCAAACCCATAACAGTAAAAGTCCAAAATAATAATAATAAAAGATAACAACCTACGAGCAAAATGACTAAGCTCTTTTTTTTTTTTTTTTTATGAAGTCGCAGTTGTAAAAAGACTTGTTTAAAATTAATGATTTCTAACTAGGGAAAATTGATAGGTATTGTATTCTTTTTTCCTAAAATGCTTACCTCTTAAAATGGTAAGGTCATATTTTAAATGTTCCGTAATGTCCGTAATAACCTGTCACTAACAGATCTTTAACGTCTTCCGTTTTGGCCAGTATTTTAACTACAGAAATAACAGTTAGTGATCGGGATTTTTAGAAACGTATCTGTTGCCTTCTAAGCAGGGGGGACGTTGCTGTGTCCCCCCAGCCCTATTTTTTTGGCCACCTGCTATCAATTCTTCAGCACAACAGGCTTCCCTGGAAGGTATCTGCAGTTTTTGGGAATAGTCTTTTACTTTCCAATCATTTCCAGATAAACTCCGATATGGTTTCCTAATAAGTTCCTGTATTTATATGTTTATGTTTTAAAACTAATTGCGGCAAAGCAGCCCTTGGTAGTTGAACCTTTATAATCTGTAATGTTCATTAGCTTCCCAACAGGGAGCTGTCGTCTGTATTCATTTCTCTTCCCCCCCTCCCCACATTTTACTACTGTTTCCAAATAATCCCGCATCCCTCCTACTAAAAAAATGGGGGAGCTTCTTCTAAAATGTTATTTAGCGAGAAATAACGACGCTCTTGGGCGTCCACAAAGCACTG